TTGTTTTGTCCAGTTTGAAGCCCAAGTTTCTTGATACAAGTAAAAGAAGACAGACCTATGACTATATTCATCTTGCCTAAATATAACTGGCTCTTTCATCTAAACTGGTGATGTTCTAATTTATAGAGTGACTGACTTGTCGTACTGACTTGCTATTTACTGATATCACCATATTTGACAAAAAGGTACCAGAATCAGTGTTTGCTGGTATAACATATAAATATACTTAATAATTTTAAGATATGGCTAATTAATAAAATATAGAAAGCAAAAAATATAAAGTAAAGGAAAATAAGAGCTAAAAAAAAATAATAATAAAGAAATATTAGATTTGGCGAACTACGAATTCGTAATTTGCCAAATCTAAATCCAAAATAAAAAGAAAATAAGGATTAAATATATAAAATTTGGTGAAATCTAAGTTTAAATTAGAAAAAAAAAGTATAACCCTTTGACGTAAATATAAGATAAAGAAAGAAACTTTAAAAAAGAGTAGTGATGCTAAATTTCTTTTATATAAAATAATAAATCTACTGATTAACTATATGATTGTATCAATATGTATCACATACACATTACACTTGATGTTCATAGTAATAGGAATGATAGTTAATCTATATTTGGGAACAACCTGATAAAATCTGGTCCATGCATGATTGGTTAAGTAGTATTTTATTACAATAAGTTAAATATACGTATGTTGTAAAAGTGCGAATGATGTACCGAAAGACTTGGCTGAGTAATCAGAGTTAATTGGGTTCTTAGTAATAGTGTCAGATTAGAGCTCTTGATTATATCATAAATTTCTTTATTCAAGATCACAGGATTTGGTCACTAATTCTAATCATTATTACAGTTTTGCTTATTAGGGAGATAAGTAAAGCAACACTCTTAATATTGAACTCTGATCGAGTTAATCTTTATTCAAAGCAAAATGTATTCGCTTATATACTTATTTTTACATAGTAACAAAATATCTAATATATTGCTGATATACTGATATATAAATAAAAATGCTACTTTAAATATCAGTATTTATAAATTGTACTTTCTATGTAAAGAAATTACAGCCATATAGGTTTTTGGATCATTTTCAGTATTAGTATAAGTACCTGCTACAAGCTGGGAATAGATTTGATGTATGGGAATTATGTAGTCACTGCTTAATTCATAAAATTCTTGATCACACAATTCTATATTACAACTAGAATCATCCTCTTTAATTTTTACCTGGAACCTGGTTTCATAATTTTTAACAGGTTTATACAACCTTACAAATGCAAAGTGATATGTTAGTTTACCAGAAGGAAGATAGATAGTGTAGTTGAAATAAAATTGAACTTGACTACGATATGAATCTACTAATTCATCTTCTTAAACAACAAATCTTGCTAGAATTCTTGAGGATTTGATATGGCGAGCTGAGAATGTAGATCCAAAAATTTTTGACTCCAATTTTAATCGCCCATATTAAATTATTTTGGAAAATACAAATATTTGATCAATTTCTAATATATCTACTGGAGTGGTAAATTGATAACCTATTACTCCATTGTTATAAAATTTGACTAAAAGGTCTAAAATATCATTTTGTAAAATGGCAATTCCGATTTTGGACCAAGAAATATACCAGGAAATAGTTCGTAACCAAAAGATTCACCTTGATCAATAATATTTCTTAATTTATAAAATTGAAAAAGATCTTGTGTTTCAAATTTATCTAAAATATCTATGCTACTATCCGATATTCTTCCTTTTAATATTATTAGAAAATCAGATAATCTGATATTTTTTTCGGCATTTGATACAACTTCATCCAAAGAATTATTTGTGAGAATAATTCTCAAAAGTTCTGGTACTATATTCCTATAGCTGGTCTTATATGAGCCTATAAAATATAAATTATATATATCTTTTTTTACCTTCGAGAATCCTGTTTACTTATTATGGAAACAGACTTTCATTCCTATATTGGCATACGAAGAAATCTAAAATCTATAGGTGTTCCAACCAAAGAGTAAACTCACCTCTGGCGTACCTTGCAGATGCTGAAACATCCACTTGCGGTCAGGGTGAACTATTAAACTGCTTTGTCTTGCCCAGATGTGACCTGCCTAGAAATACTTGGCCTCCTCCAGAGATCCAGAACTCACTCCGGACTTATTTCTTCCAGATTCCTCGGCTGGCTGTTGCTCGCTCCGTCAAGAATAGAATGCTGCCAAACTGATGACACTTTCTCGTAGAGAAGGAAAAAAGATATATATAATTTATAT